ACGATAACGCAACTATGATTGGACGACAAGTGTGCAGATAGCCTAAGTAAACGAAAACGGTTTTCGCTCGGATTATTTACTTGGAAGAACCGCTGCGGCCATAGCCACTACCATCCACCTCACGCGCACAACCATACTTAGCGGCAATAAAATCAACAGCAACAGCAAACGTGGCGTAAAAGGCATTGAAAGCATTGCAGTATGTTTGAAGTTTAGTATTTTTATTGCAACAGTTTTCACGTTGTGGCATATGTACACATACACATACACATGCCTAAAAACGGACATGTACATAAGTACATATATGTACAGATATATACTACAAATATGGACATTTGTATATATTTAGGTATGATTTTCTTGGCCAACAACATCAATTGCTAACAATTTAACTTTAACGGGAATTCACTAAAGCAAATCTAGACCGACACACACCCAAATACCTATGTATGTGTGGATGTAAATGGGATTTATATGCACATGTGTATATATGATTTTATTGTATGTGGCTATATAAGTAATTGTAATCACCGTCGAGTGGCTTGAAGCTATAAAGGATATTGTGCGCCCTACGCTAAGTGAGTGAGCGCTGCGGCAAGTTCGCCTACATACATTTGTATGTTTTCGTAGATACCTATATACATATATGTATGTACATATGTATATCGCTGTATCCCAGCGTATGTATTTTACTACACGTTNTTCATTCAGTTGCTCAGCTCGCTCTTGGCGGCGTCATACTATAAATTTTCATTAACCCAACAAATTTGAATTTCTGTGGCAAGTAAACGTAAATTGTGTGGCCAACATAAATCTTAGCAAAAGTTGTGTTGAAGTGCAGTTTATGTATGTAAAGTAAATAGTCTTTGGTGTATTGGCAACTAAAAGCGCACATTTGGCATTGGTGTGTTTCGTGTTCGCTGGCCTTGGCATATATTATTTCCCCCTTTTTGCAAACGTGTATGTACCCTGAGGAAAATCAATTACTGCGAAAGCAATTTAATAAGTGCTTTTTATTAGCCATCAGTAAATAGTTGAAATGTTTAAATTTTCTTGTAAGCAACTGACTTTATAAACATGGCGATGGATCTAGGAGCAAGTGAATTGTCTGAGTCTGCATGTGATGTAAATCATGTCGTAGAGAACTTTAAAAGCATTAGCTGAAATGCTGCATTTATTTCAAAGAAATGTATTTCCAACTACTTTTTCAATTGAATAATTTTTGAGACTGTCTGCCTTATTCCGACAGGGTATGTTTATGTGTGTGTATTTTTACTTCTTGTTGCTTACCTTTTCAATTATGCAGACGAGATTTATTGTAGATCCCATGTCGACATGCAGCTCACCGGAGCCCAGTATAAATGCCTCGGGTACGACTACTTGCAGATTCACAAAATGTGAAATGATGCCTGTCGGCGTGGATACCTGTGTGGAGGTAGGCGAAGAAAAAAAAATAGTTTCATTATAAAAATTGTGTTATTTAAAAATGAATGTACGTTTTATATTTCAGGCCTTAGCAATTATAGTGTTGTTGGCAGGGCTCGAAAATAACTCTTAACCGAAAGACCATATTGGTTCTTCTCGGATACTTATCATATTGCGCAGTCACATAGATAAAGGTTTTCCTTGGAGAGATATACAAATGCGCGCATTATTTTGGTTGTCCTCTGAGATTTATATTTAATTTTTAAAAATAAATCTCCTTTACTGAGATTCATCTAGGAGACGTATTGTAATGGTCGCTTGCTTTCGGTTATTAAGAGCGGAATAATATTAGTCACATAATAACCATTTTAAAAAATACGTTTAATTTTGTTATTTGTAGAATTGAAGAAAATTAAAGTAGAAAAGTAAAACCAATACATTATATATGGATACAAAGTAAATTTATTTATAATTTTTAATTTTGTTGTAAGAGGCGACAAGCTGGTCAGTTATTCTCTCTGGTCCATCACTTAATTTTGGACGTACTCCATGAACTACTCGTATCTTTATACAGGTACCCGGGCAGAAGGTTATGTTTATTCAAGTACCCGCGTATGTTTATCTTTTTCCGAGTACCCGGGTAGGTGGATAATTTTATTTGGGTATCTTGTTGCGGGTTATATGTGGCAGATTCCCCGGGTAGTAGTAGACTTTTCTGTGTACATTGGTAGCGGTTTATTCTTGTGCAGGCAGCCGGGTAGAAATTAATATATGTATGTATATCCGGGTATCTGGGTAGCGGATTATCTTCAACCCGATATCCGTGTGATATATATTCGGATACCTAAGCAGCGAGTCAGTTTTATCCAGGTACCCGGGTAGGAGGTTTTATTTATTCGGGTACCCGGATAGTGGGCTATTTTTATCCGGATATCCGGATAGCGGGTAATCTTTTATTTATTTATTTGTCTATAGAACATTTTATTCTTACAGACTAGTAGATAGTATCAAACGAAATTTTATATTTCATTAAGTACATCCATGTATAAATACAGTTAAAAAGGTTAAGAATAACGTAACTATTATAGAGCTTAACCCTTATTTAAGGCGTATGGGGTCAAGGCCATTTCAAGTTGAAAAAAATGTGTTGAAGTGCTTGGAGCGTGCTCTTGCTCTTTCTAGCTTCCCAACTCCCCGCGGGGTATGTAAATTAGTCACGTTCAGAACATCGGCGTGTACACATGTGTCGCTACTCTGTCTATGTGCTGACCCCATGCAACCACTAACGTAACATTTTTTGGCGGACTTAAGTTTCTAACTTTTTTTTGCCGAAATTATTATTTTTTTTTTCAGTTAACGATAATAGAGTACTTTATATATTTGATAGTACACATTTCGTTTTTTTTTTTTAAATTTTTAAAACTACTTTTCGGCACTTTTTTTGGGGGCACTCGTGACTCCATGTGACTAATTTGAGATTTACTTTATGTGCCTTATTAAGGGTTAAAACCAAGTAAAATTAAGGTTAGCGCAATCGCTTTTAATTTTAATTTTTCACTAGGCTAGTGCTATTCATCAGAGTTGTAAAAGAATTCAGTCATTTGCGAATAATTACTTACTTGATTTTTTAGCAAATGATTGCAATCAATTTTTGTATTCTATGATTGGGACTAAAAAAATTAAGTCACTATTTAAAAAAATGTGTGACTAGTTATTAATTTTTAAAGTCTTTTAGTCATTTCATTGCAATTGTTTGAATAAAACCTTTTTTTGAAGTCATTTGAAATCAGGCATCGTTGGCCTGTAGTCAGAAGCCTGAATTTTACCTGTATAGTAAGAATAAGTAATAAAGTAGTAACACGTATTTATTTAAGTTTAATTACTACATTTCTAACTTTCTAGTAAAAAAAAAAATTTATAACATTTGCTGTGATGAGCGACTTGCATTATGCATGAAATTCGTTATATGTACCGGATAATAAATTACTTCGTATGCGTAAGTAACGCCGACGATGCAACTGTTACCGCTAATGGGGAAAGTTTCGTCAATGCATTTAGGGGATTTGGTATCTATAAATATAGCTTTAATATTCCTCTACGGTAATGTCAGAGATGACACTGATGCTGTGGAAGCGAAGTCCAGAAATTTTTGTAAAAAGTCATTGCCAAGGCATATTAGATGCGTGCCCCACACCCTAAGTTTACTGGCTGCTACACATATACTAAGAATTTTGAATATATATATCTCACATACGGCAAACATCAGAATGTAAGTTATTTTAATTTGAATTGTTATTGTTACGAAAAATTCAATAGTTTTCCAAGACAAGCGGGAAATAAAAATTGCAATGCATTAATTTTGAAAATATAATGCTTAGTGAAATATTAATGCATTAATTCTTAAAAATATAATGCTAACAAAGTTTGTTTTAATTAGATTACAGAAACTAATGCTAAATAAAAATTTTAACACATTAAATTTTTTAATAATTTAGCTTGTTTGCACTATTAAAAATCATGTAATTTTTCTTGGAAGGACTTTTAATAATTACTAATATTTTTTCAGCTTCAATCTATTATGTTTATTTGTAGAAAAAATCCTGTAAAAACTTTTAAATGTTTTATGAAACTAAAAGCAATGTGCATGTAACTCAGTGTGCTTTTGTTAATTTTTGTGTTGTTTGTTGTTGAATACCGACAATTACCTATTTGACGACAAATGCCTTTGAATTTGACATAGTGAAAACCACCCTTAACTTCCGCCACTATATTTTTTTACCTCAAAGTTCTACCCTCAACGTCAGCTATACAGTCTCTACAAAGAGATAACGGTATAGTGTACGGTTTCCTTCTACAAAATACCGAAAAATTCGAGAAACCCATACATAATGCATAATGTATAAGGCATACGTGTTTCCTACTTCATATCAATAAAAAAAAATGAATAAAAAAGGACAAATGCATAATAGTTCCAAACCTCAAAAAAAAAAATATATATATATATATATATGGGGATCTATAAAGATCATGGATGTGCACATAACAGTATACTTTGTTTGGGCGAAACAACAGCTACAATAGTTATAAAATGTCAAAGTAAAAAAAAAATAATTTTTTTAATCGAATTTCTCAAAATCCCATTTATATATTTGATTTCATTTCATGGGAATTTTAATTCCTTTGAATTTGACATTCATATTTTATATATGCCTCTCTGCAGCTAACTATTAACTAACTAGCAGTCGACTTGTGGTAACTATTTATTGACTATTTCCTTTGGCCGCAACTAACTACTTTTGAAGGGCGATGACGAAAAAAAATGAGAACTTATTTCCTCTGCATTAGATGTCAACTTACTTGTAGATAACTACATTTGGACATAAACTATCAATAAAAAAAGATGTTTTAATTTTTTATATTTTTATTTATTTACTTATTTTATTTAACATTACATATTTGCTTATGTTTTTACATATTCTTTGTAGGTGGTCTCATATTTGAACAAATAAGATCAGACATGACATCAAAATGATAACGTAAAATTTCTTCCTTATTTTATTTGTCCTGAAACGGAAAAGAACCTGCGAAGTGCAGACAAAAAGTATTGAAAGTAATTTTTGAATGAGGATATTTAAATAGAAACTTGTAAAGAAAACAAACTCTCGATAATGTCTGCATGACTCCTGCACGTCTGTTATATGCAAAAGTTTTAGAATTAAATAGGAAATTTATGAAGCTTTCATTGGATGTGCAATGTGCATTCAATAGTCCTCACTCTACAAAGTATTTAAAAAAATAACCCTGGTCCGTCTCAATACCGGCTACGCTATTAGGAATATTTTTTCGCAGAACTTCTTCCTGCGTAGTGGGTATTCGACCGCGCTTAGGGATTATAACCCTTACTAAGTAGAATTCTCCTTTCCGTAGGGCATATATGTACATATTTATTCATAACTTTCATGAAATATATATAATAAAGTGATATCTTGTGCATTGTCATATTACAAGATATTTTTATGGCCTTTATGATTTTTCTGACCATTGCTGCTTCCTGAGCATTCGAAACTTTCGCAAAAATTTCAATATCCAACAATAAAATAAAAAAGTTTTTTACCTCCACCATACCTACTATTTACTCGCATTACTTAGACAACAAATTCACGCTAAATAAATTTCAATATATTTAAGAAACTTTGCACATGACAAGTATATTTACATATATTTCAAGAATATTTCCCAACAGTCAAGAAGTCAGGCAGTGTCAGTGGCATTGTTGCTCATACGCCCTGTTAACCATCTTACCAAGCAATTTCTAGGAACTGACAATTCTTTAGTGGAAATAGATAAACGAATGAATTTGGCAGAAAATTTTGCCTACGACCATTTCAGAAACTAGCACTTGCACTTTATTTCGCTTGTTAAGTATTATTTGTTGCTTTCATGTGCCAGCGAAATGACCTGACATGTGGAAGGAGTGTGATTTCGTTCGTCGTTCAAGCTTTTGTAGTTAGATATAAACTTTTCAGAAATTGTTTTGAGATACTTATTCAGAACAATTGATATATATACTTGTGTATGTAGATTGCGTTGTAATTGCGGTCACACTTTTTGACATACACAATTTAGCATACATTGCAAGTATGTTAACTGTCACTCGCCTTCACAAAAGTTATGGCATTCTTTTCATTTGAATTCAGCCTGGGTGAGTGTATGAGTGCATATGCAATTCAAGAAGAAGCAATAAGCTAGGCTGTCCGTTAAAACTATACATTTTTCTTATTATTGTCTATGGGACTACATGCCCCAAATCATACGACTTTTTTTCTAAAACCTGCATCTTTAACTGCTGCAACAGACAACTTTAGTACTCGTTTTTTTTTTTTAGTAAAAATTCTTCATTATGTATTCGAATGTTAAAGAAAGTTGTTAATGTGGAATTTCTGAACAAAGATGCGTAAAGGAAAATAAGACAGAAGATAATACTTTGCAAGTATTTACATGTATGCCATGAAACCTGTATAGGCCACAATATTTAAACTAGTCTTGAAATTTTTATGCAATCGTTTATAAAGTACATCAAAAAGGATGCCCATCTCTAAGCTTTTCATGTAGTGCCTTGGCAAAATCCAAAGCTGTACTGCAAAAAACCTTACCACACTGTTATAGCTACCAGGTTAAAACGGGATTGAATACTGGGGAACCATTTTTTGTGAACCCGGATTAATATTGTGGCTTCAGTTGTACTTTTAGATATTGAGGGATATCATCTTTGGGTATCCTTTTGCTACCAATAATCTTAACAATCGCCTTGGCCAAAATAAAAGCCTTCGTGGCACTTCTGAGCTATGCAGCCATTTTTAAGTCTAACAGTGAGGATATTGCGTAAATATTTCCCACCGATGGCATGAGCAGATACATTTGTAGAATGGTCACGAATCAGCAAATATTCGATGTTTTTTTTATCTGTGATCTGGAAATCCTTCTTACAGAAACTTGCGTAAAAAGGACGATCCTCCTGCTGCAATTAATAGTTTGCCTGGATATTCACAGATCTTAGAGGAAATTCACAATCGCTATCCGCCCAAGCAGTCATTGCCAAATGTACTCGCCAACAAATCCAAAAAAAAAAAAAAACAAAAATGATTCTCCTGTTCTATATGCCTTAAAAACGTAGTTCTTTTGATTTCATTCATGCGTCATTACGAAGTAATAAATACTACTGATGGAAAACAAGAAAAAGTTCTCGACTACAGTGAAAGGTGAAATGGATTCAGCTAATGAAAATTGTGCCAAATATATTTAGATATCTGCCTACATAGTTCAATTAGAAGTCAAATGTATGCCAATGGCAATATTTTTTAAAACTGTGTAAACGTATAAATTGCGTACAATTCCTGCAAGGATATGCGAACTTATAACGCTTTGCGCTCAGCCCTGTAAGCTCCGCATGCAAAAGGAAGTTAAAAATTTGGGATTTCACGTGGGGAAACACAATAGCATCCAAAATTGTAACGTGGTAAAATGCTCGAAATACAAAACCATCATTATACAGTGGCGGGAAAATAAATAGGGATGTGATATTTGAACAACAATTTTTATTATTTATGAAAGCATCATAGGTCATAATCTAACAAAAACCATGTAAGTAAGAATTTTAGAATTAGTATACGAATTTGAAAAATTCAATAAAGTTCTTTAAAAATGTCAAACTTTTTAATAAGAATATTTATCGTTATAAATTGGAATTTGTATTTTGCAATTTCTTTTTTGTTACGCATTTTCTTCCATACAAAGTATTGTTACTATTATACCTGTATATTCGACGGATTTCCTAAATAATTCAGAACCACATCACTGGTTTGTTAAATAGATGCTCCAAATATAATTAATTACAGTAAAAATAACTTTATTGTACAGCATGCATGTATTGTAAAGTATTTAGGCAAGTTTGTATTTACAAAACTTGCTAAGGCAATCGATCTGTTTTACAACTGAGCTTTTAGCTTGCTAATTTGCAACTGAACTTTGTAGGCGCTGTGGCCATGCTTTTGCATACCGGCGCTCGCACTCATCGCAACTCTAGAAAGTTCCTATCGAAAGTTACCGAATATTTCATTTCTCCGATTCTCCACGGCGAAGCTTCTACATATGTAAATCGTTTATCGCACATTCTGTCATTCTTTTGTTGTTCGCCTTGGCCTGCTATTCGTGTTTTGCTTTATGTTCGAAAAACTGTTTGTGTAGAGAAATTACACAACATCATCAAAAAGGAAAAATTTACAAAAATTAACAGTGAGTTACTACTTCAACGGAATACAAAATTGTATATCTAGATTTTTTTTTAAATTCTAAATGGAAATTTTGAAACGTTCATGAAAATTTGTTGTAGTTCGTCGAATTTTTACAAATATTGTACAAAATGTGAAATTTTAATTTTAATTGTTTTTATTAAGAAGTGGGCTTTGTTAAAAAAAAAAATTTAAACAAAAGAACAATAATTGCCTTTGTTGTTTATGGTCAAAAGAATAATAGCTAGAACTTATTTAAATGTCGCGTCTCTATTTGTTTGTCCCCCATCATATACATACTTTCTTCAAAAATCAAACGGAAAATGCAGTACTACATCTGCCCTTACGGTTTTGCATTGAGTGCTCTATCAGAAAATAGTGATTTGGGATCGTGACAGTTTTTTCCCTTTGTACGTAATTAGAAATTTTTATTTTTTATATTTCCCTATATTTCCAATTAAATTAAAAATCAGGATGCGAAACAATTTCCATTTGCTAATCGATCATCATATCGCTTGTGTTTTTGTACAGTTTCGTACACAGTCAGAAACAAACTGTAAGATTCGCTGTCATTTTCCCCAACGAGAAATGTTTGCTTTTCGTTTGTGACAACTGTAATATAAGTAGTGATGGCACGGTTAATCGAATAACCGATTATAATCGGTTATTTTCATTCGCTTAACGATTTAATTGTATCGAAATTTTCCTTTCGATCAATCGAGCGATTGACCGATTAATTTTCAAGATAATCGAAAAGAAACCATCAAAAATTGACTACTTTACTCACACAATAATGTATGAATCAAAATAAGTTGGGATGTTTTTTACATTCTCGTATTCTGCAAATTTTTTTTAAACAATATTTTTGTCAAAAACCGCAACGCAGGCTTAACCTAAGTAGCTACTAAAAAATCACTACGCAGTTATGCACATATATTTATTTCATATTCCGAATTCGGTCTTGCGCATTTTCTTCCTTTTTATACCAAACCTTACCAAACAGAAAAATGCCAATTATTAATGGGCTACAAAACTACATACAGAAAATTCTTCTAAGAAATCTAGTTAAAAAGCTGGAATTTTTTGTTTATTTTTTTATTAATATTGCACAATTTTTGATATATTTATATTTACAGGTTTCGATTCATTTCGTTTGTTCTTTCGTCTATGTCTACTAAACGACTGTAGTGTACTATCGGCAAAGTGAACTCAGCCATTTTGTTTCTGTATTATACCGAACTGTTAAAGTAATAAGCGAAACGAAATAGTTTCGTACAAATAGTTTATTTTCGTACACTGAAAAAATAGCTTTTCTACAAATGCCGCTTTTGGAACGAAAATATATTTAATTTTTCTTGTGAAGAATTCATCGCTGTTTTATAAAAAAAAAAATATTTTTTTTTCCACATTTTTTAAATTACATGCAAAAAATTTCTTTTAATAAAAAGAAAACCAATCATTAAGGTAGCCTAACCGAATCTACGTCACCGTTTGTCAAAAAGCTTTCAGTTCACTAATTGCTCAAATACACTTTATTCCACCAAACAACGAAAAATATGTAGTATTTACATTCAACCTTCAATCCTTTTCAAACTCATCTATGTATGTATATTAATCTATATTTTTTGAGCTTTGTTGAGTTCAGTAATTTTAGATATTTAATTTTTCATTCGCTCATATTTGTTTTCATCAGTTTCTCTCGAAAATTCTGATTTTATCAAAGCTCAATTATTAATTTTTCCACTGACAGACATATTTCGAAATTTGCGAGATTGAACGCTCATGAAACTTGTTATTAAAGTCATGCGACATATATGTACATATATAACAAGCAATGTTGCAGATTCTCATTTACTCACACTTCACAATTTTTACAACCGAAATTTCTAAATAATAAATCTGATGTGACATTTCATGATTCCAGTTAGACGCCTCACTGTGACAATTTTATGCTGATTTTTATGTCCTATTTTCATATTTTTTTTTTTAATTTTACCTTTTCGTTATCTAGTATAAAATGTTGCCACGTGTTGCCGCACTCCGCTAGTGTGGCAAGCCATGGAAAATTAAAAACAAGAAACAGCAAAATGTAAAATTAAAGTCAACACTCACATGTCACAGCACCCGGCAGAAATTGCTAACCATATTGCGGCCATGTGTATGAATAGTTTTGAGTGTATCATTGCTATAAATTTTTTTTTTGGCTTTTCAGCAACAGCAACAAGCCATGCCATGTGGATTCTTTGAACGGAACAGCCCACGAACCAACCGGTGAAGTGGACCGCTACTGGAGTCGCAGATAAAAATATGAATAAAATATGGCCAGCCGAGAAAAGTGACACATTTTAGATGGGTAACAGTTGGATTGAAACTGAATTGCAACTATAAGCAAAAGCATGGAGCGCAAAAGAGAGTTTCAGAGCAGGTAAAAAATAAAAATAAAATAAATAAATTATACAAAGTAAGCGACACTGTTGTTGTAGTACATAGTTAAATATACATACATACATACATACATAGATAGAAGCGAGTGGTATTTTTATCTGTTTTTAATTTTTGCGAGTCAAAAAGCACTGCCACCTGTCTGCTGTAAAATCACCGGATTTTACATACCCATTTTCTACATACATACATATACATACATACATACATACATAAGTATGCTTTTACACAGAAACTCATCTGTACATCTGACTCACCTGACACTCGTACATGCCATGATCCCGCCGTTGCACAAATTTTATCTGCAATGTCCACATGTTGGAGCCAGGCGCATGCAGTATCGCAAAGCGTTCGTCGTTGGTGTAGAGCTGCGCACCGGACGAAAGGATATGCCAGTCGCGTCGACGTATCCAAGAGATTTGATTCTGTGGCAGCATGAAACAAAAAAAATGTACAAATAAAATTATTATTATACTATAAATGTACAAATATAGAAAAGAGAAAAAAAAGACTCTAGAAAAGGCTGCATAGTTATTGTACTAACAACGCAAAATTCCATGCAAAGCTCAAAATTAGGTTTGCTTAAATTCGTTGCATGCAGCTGTTAAGCAGTGCGCTAAATTGCGGAATCTTAAAAAAAACAAATAAATTAAAATAATAAAATATTTGCACTACATACATACATATATATGTACATGCATAAAATTATATATCTCTAAAACAAATTATGCTGGGGAACTGAAACTTAGCACAGATGCATAGATTGTAAATACCCTACTTACGGTGAAATATGGTAGGTACTGGGAAAGTGGGCGTGGCACTTCCTATACAAACTGAAATTCTCATATCGCTTATCTCTGGAACCGCTTACGCTAACGTCCTGAAATTTGACACAGCAATATATGTTGCCAATACCGCACTCACGGCGAAGATTGGTAGATTTTGCAAAGGGGGGTGTGGCACCGCCCATACAAACTGAAATTCTCTATCTCTGGAACCACTTATTATAAGATCTTGGAATTTTATACACCTACATTTATACACTTACAAAATCGCAAGAATCATTCAATTGGGAACAATTTTCTCCCAGATTTTGAAATCGCATTGAATGGTTTTTATTTTGTGCAAGAGCTTTTAGAAGGATCAGTGTGTTTGTCTTCCGATAGGTGGCGCAGGGATTGAGAGCTATCCTAAAAAATCAGATTTGTAACTTGGTAGCCCAATCGTGTGATGAAAATATATTGGGCTATGGCCCAGTCTTGATTAAAACCCGTGTGAAACTGCCGTAAGAGAAGGAAATATTATCTTTTGTTGTAAACCTTCAAGATACTTTCTCAACCGTTAACGATTCTGATGAAAAAAAGAAAGAGTTTATATAGATGTGGGCAATTTAGTTTTTAACATCCAAGAGGCTCTCAGACAAATTAATGTATTCGAAAAACATATTTAGTTTGAATTGGTGTATGTTTGACATATGTTTTAGCCAGTGATGAACATCTCATCTATAAATAAATACAAATACATATTCATATTTTTTATAAATGAAAATCGAGGTTCCTTTTTCGGTCTAATTTCAAAAGCTACTGAAGAAATTTGGAGGAGGCTTGGTAGAATTAGCACTAATCAATCCGGTATTAACGTTCATAATTCGATTTTAAGTTTCCCTGTAAATTCCCTATAAATTATGCTGGTGGACTTCAAAATAGTAATTCGCATAAAGGAGTTATTATTGGTGACAGGTAAAATTCAAAATTGTATGAAAAAAGATGTCGAATTTCGACAACTGGGCGACACTAGTAAACATAAAACTATAACTCACTTTAGATAGTATTTATTTTATTGCTTGGAAAAATAAAGACAACTGCAATTAAAATTTTCCACTCGCCTTTAAAAAATAGCGATAAGTACTTTGATTTCAATATCGATAACAGTACCGATAAATATATCAATAGAAATATCGATAAATATATCAATAGCAATACCAATAAAAATATCGATGAACATATCGATGAAAAGTATCGATTATTATATTGATAATATTAATAAATAGATGCATTGCGATTGGGGCGTATTCCCGTTTTCGTACGAATCGAAAATTAGAAATCTTTCTATAAAAAACATCGATGATTGTGTCGATAACATTATGAATAAATATGTCGCTGACATTGCCGGTATTTTTATCGATAAATAAAAGGATTGCAAAATCGACAAATTTATTGATAAATCGTCATCATCAACAAGATAGACAAATATAACTAAAATTCCTCTGTGAGTTTAGGTAAGGTGTGGTGAGTTCAGGTATGGTGAGTTAAGTTTTCGTGAATCTAAGTCTGGTGAGTCTCCGTTTTTCCACCTTAATCAGTTTCTTCATATTTACGTTGTTCACATGTTCCATTGCAATTTATCCAGGAGTTATCCCGGATTAGTCGAATGTGTTGCGGAGTATGTAGGTACATACTTACAAATACCCACATTTATTTAGTGCATATTTTGCTTTTTTTTTGTTTTTTGAAATTTTTCATTAAACCATTTTTGCAATTACTTTCATCTTTTAATGAAAACGTTAGCTGATACGTTCTCCACTAAGCTCACTGGCTCGCAAGCGCTAGCAGTTACTGAACCTAGCTTAACGTTTTTTCATCAAAATTTCATGTTAAAAGCTTTTTATATACACAGGAAATTTTGCCATTAGTTAGTATATGTATTGCTGGAGCGGCATGTGTATGTGTGTGTATGCCCCTAACGGACGATCGAATTTTTATGTTCGACCCTTTTAATCCATCAATATTTCAAAGAAAATAAATGAACGGTGACATTGTTTAAGTGAGCAGGTTTCACAATTCTCGCAGCCGATTTTCCGTTTTCTCTTCTGCAAGAGCCTACTGACCAGCGGCGCAGATTCCAAATAAATTTTCATTCGTTACTTACTCAGGGCAGGTGCATAAATGCTGTTGTGTTGGTGTATCCTTTGCGACATAGTTAATGTGAGAGTATGTGGACTTTAGTGATTTGCTTTAGCATAGGGCATATGTTAACATAAACATACATATTTGTATAAGTTATTTTTAAGTTTGGCACGTTGTGGGCGTAGGTATATTCTGCCTCATTGCTGACCTGTTCATTGGCTAATTTCGTTGTACCCAAAAAAAAAAAACTGACATGAGTTCATTATTATCGAGCCGAATATGTCATGTTTTATTTGTTTCCTTGCAAATTTTTCCTAAGTTTCGCATTCTATATGTAATCTACTTTAAATGTCGCCTAGTTATGACATATGTAGCTGTTGAAATATTTGTTTGCCTTTATACAGAGTTTGTCCCTTTTATTTCTTAGTTCCATTTTCGAACTGACCTGCATACATTTCGCAAGGCGACACATAAACATAATAATATTTCTTCATGTATCTTTATCTATACTTTTATCGGTATCTTCATCCTCATCTTTTTCTTAATATCCATTTTTATCTTTATGTATATAATTTTCTTCATCTACATACATTAGCTCCGTTCCAACAATTTTCGTGTAAAATCCGGTAAAAATGTGTCAAAAAGCATAATTACTCTCTGAAATGAGAGTAAAAAGTGAGTAACAACAAAAAAACAACGGGAACAAAAAAAAAGCTGTAAAAATGTCAACCAGTGATCGCTTGACACTTTTCGCAACACCAGGGGTGGGAAAGGCCGAGGCCGGAAATTCTAAATGCTTCAAAGAGTCACAAAAAGAAAACAACAAACACAAAAATTTTATTTTTAAATAAAATGATTATTAATGAAAAACATTAATTTTATTAATGTTATTTATAGATATTGAAGAAAATTCAAAAGATCCCCTTGGCCAAATTTTCAAAACCTGGTTTTACTTCAGTTAAAGCCGTTCTTAACAGTTCTATTAAATGTTTGTTGGTCAATAGGCCCGTTCGTTTAAAATCTCCAGTAAAAAATATCCAACCGAAGAATTCCGGCGAAATGTCATCTATTCTCTCATAGGAGAAAAATAAGTAGGCGAACAGAAAATTTGCAGCAACTTGCAAGTTAGATGAACAGCTGATACAAATTTTGTTTACATTCAAAAGTATAAAATTGAAAATGTAAGAAAACAAATCCCGAAGTCTTATCCTGACACAGTTCACTGACTAAACGAATAATTACTTACTTCTTATAAGTTTAATTAGTCGCATTTTATTATTTTAACTTCCAAACCATCAAATTCAATTTAGGAATTTGCGTAAATTGATCGGCTGTTTTCTTGTTGGCAAATTGCAGTTGGCAAAAATTTTTTCCAGCAGAAACTAGCAGCATTCCCTCAAAACACTCATGGGCACTGCCTTGCCCGCGGGCAAAGCTCTTTTAAGCTTTCTATATATTTTGTATAGGCGCATACAGAGTAAAAGCTTTCTCTGCCCAACGCTGCCTCAAAATGAACTGTTCTTTTTGCTCTCTCAAATTTCCCTACTTGCAAGTTTTTTGCGTACGCGAAGACCAAAAGCTGATAGTTTATATAACTTTCAATAATTATTAAGCACGCGAATGCAACTGTTGCGAACGGTATTTTGACTTTACGAATTTCAATGTAGAGTACAAAGACTCATAGTTATACGTTGTACCAAAAATTGAAAATAGTGCTCACGATATTCACGATATTCATGATTTGTAGGTTTTTTTTGCACGAAAGCGTTCCAGGTGCCAAAAGCCCTGTAAGTCAAATCACTTTTGGTGAGAGTAAGTTGCTCTCTCTCTCTCAGTCAGAAGTTGCAGGTTTCAGTCCGAAGTTTTTCTTCCTGAACGTTCATGAAAAGTATCAAACGATAGGCAGGGTTGCATTTGTAAACAAAAACAGAACCTTAAGCACCACGGAGACAATCAAATAAATATGTACGTCAAGCATTGCATATGTATGAGGTTGACTCGAGTTTTGCCCGCAAACGTTCAAATAAAATCGCCAATTCAACAAACAATTTCTCTTTTTTGTCCGCCATGGAAAATGATGAAATATCTTTTTTTTTTTGAAATCATAAAGAAGATGCAGTTTAGCTTCAAAACTTAAAAAAAAATTGCAGCAAATCAAAGNAGAAAGCAAATTTTCATTCTTTAATTGCGGGTAATACTTCGATCTCAATTTGCGTATGTGTATATAAAAAGAATAAAATAAAAGAACAACACAATGGAAAAGAATGTCCAGCAAAGGAATATGTATTTTAAAAAGTAAAAAGAGCCAAAATGTTCTAATTGAAAGTTCCGATCGAAAAATATTGATTTTCAAGAATTCTATACCATTTCTACGAAAATTTGTTTTATTTTCCAAGTAAAATGCATGGAAAATTTTCAGCGCTTTGAGTACTCACTAAATATTTTTTTTTAATTTCAAAATAAAAAAATAGGAGTATATTGTTTTCGGTATAGAAAAATCCTAGGGGGTGGCGGCATTG